GTACACACCCCTACTGAAGGAAAGCATGGATTTACCAGTTTGCATGCTTCTCTGCTGCATTAATATACACAATCATTGTAAAGATTGAGCCTTGCTGATCCTCAAGGGCTCTGTGACTACCTCGTGCACAGTGTTACGTGTGTTAGCAGCTAAGAGGGGAGAAAGCCCTTCTTTGCAGATGCCTGAGCTGAAGGGGTGTGAGTTGGGAGATGCCCCTGAGCCCTGTGCCAGATTACTCAGCACCTCACTGAACACAAAGCGCTTCTGTACAGCCCCTGCCATACCCCCAGCAGGAGGCCTGGCTACTTCTGCCTCTTTGCCTCGACCCGTTTGTCCAGCTGTCAGGCTCTGCATCTCCACATTCGGTAACGTCCTAATTAGAACAGCTGGGACCAGTTCATCACTGTGTGGGTGTAACCCCTCAGGCTGTAAGCTGGGTGTTAAGAGGCCTGTGAGACAGGAGGATGTTCCTGTCCTCACACCCACAACTCACAATCACCCACTGTGGAACTTCCCGGCCTGGGGGAGGTCCTGGGCATTTCTGACTGAACCTGAGGGTATATAACCTTGGGGTCTTGGGACCTCTGGTACCACTTGTGGGACGCAGAAGAGGACCAGATCCTTGACCAGACTGCGAGCACCACTCTCAACTGGACTGTAACCAGCACTCTCAACCGGACTGCGACCATCACTCGCACCAACAGGTTTTTGCTCTCCTTTTACTTTTGGACTCAGAGGGACCACGTGGGGCTCAGCTCGGGGGCCAACAAACACCATTTTATTCATGCCCCAGGGTGCTGGGTTATACGTCTGGGGCTTTGGGGGTTAAAACCATCTGTATAACTGTATTTATTGTATTATTTTTATTGAAATTTAATTCTGATTTATAATCTCTTTTGAATTGGCTTCATTTCTCCTGCCGGTTTACCTTTAAACCAGCAGAGGTAACAACCAAGTCCTCCTTCAAAATTAATCACTGAGTGAAATACCACAGCTCCCTGTGATCCACACGTGGGAAGATACAACTAACTGTATCATCAGGCCTCTCATCAATTAGAGTCACTTGGAAAGCATCGGCCTTACCATGATAGTGTAAGGCTAATCAATTAGCTAACATTAAGAAAGCAAACAAAAAAAATATACCTTGATATATCTTACCTCAGCTTTTAATCTTTTCCTTCATGAGAGAGATTTGGAAAAATTAAGTGGAATCTCAGGAAAAATTAATTTCTATGAGGATGAAAATTTGGCTTCACAGGAAGTCTGAAAGACTAGATGATGTAGCTTACTGAAAAGTGATGCAACAAAAGTAGCACACAAGTACTGAATATATTTATTCATTGCAAATTATCATAATATGGCATTTTATATTTCTTTCCCAGTGGCAACCAAGGCAGATGAACCAAACATCAAAAAGCACTGTAAATAAAAACCTTTCTCACAATACATCTGCAGAACTCACAACAGCAAAGCTGAGGCAGAATGTGGATTAATTGATCTATAAATTAATTACTAATTCATATAAAAATATGTTTAAGTGGCCTGTTTTATTTCCAGGTCTGTTAAAAATAGAAATATATCAGCAAGAATAAAAATGTACCTTTTTTTAGGAAAAAAATCTCAGAACCAAATAAGAAAACATAAACAGTCCATGGTATAGGAAACCTTTTTCCTCACATGTGTTCCACCTCTGGCATATAAGAAAGAAAGAAAAGGACCATTTTAACCAGCATATCTTCACAGTTTTATTTTAAGATCCTTAGGTAAGTGTTAGCTGATTTTGAACTTACGTTATTGCTTTAAATAAAAATAATCACAAGCTTTTTTTCTGTAATTTTGGGTAAACAGAAGGCTGGTAAGCAAACAAACTGTTTAATGAAAAAAACCCTAACAGTTCTGTACAAGATTCCATTTTGAAATTTGTATTTTATAAATTATTAAGGTTTTTTTTTCCGATTAAAACCATTTCATGTGATAATTTTCATGCAACAGAGTGAACATTTTTCCTATGCTGTCTGATAGAGCACAGGAAATAAATGGGCCTCACATGGAATAAGTTGTTTCATTCAATCACAAATGCAAATATACTACGAACTTTAGAATAACTATTTCAACACCAACATTAGGGTTAATAGGACATTAGCAAGATGTGTAAACCAAAGTGTTTTGGAAATATTTTAGTTACAGAAAGTATAAAACACTTAGGTGTTTCCATTTTTGCTGAGAACTCATGGGCCACCTATCAATTCTGGAGGTGATCCTGACAATGATGCCATCACCTGCACCAACCTTAGTAAGTAATTACCAGATACATTTTCAGAGATTCTCAACGATCTTTAAGGTTTTCAAATGTGAACAGGAATATGAATAGAGTAACAAGTTAGAGAATTCTCTATTACTGCCCTGCCTTGATATAGAAGTATATTTTACGATATCTGTCTCTTGCATCTTTAGTTTTCAAAACCTCATTGGATAAATATGCTTTACAGGTTTTTGTATAAGATCTGTTTCAGAGAAAAAAACTTCAGGAACTAAGACCTGAATTAATTTAAGTTGGCTTCCCCAGTCACTGAAATAGAATAACACTGTTTGACTTTTGCACAAAATTATATCATTTATTTCAATATTCTTTCAAGTTTCCAGTCATACAATCAACTTATTTTCCACATCAGTTTATCTGAAAAAGCCTTACATATATATGAAATTATCGTAGATATGTTTACATGATGAATTATCAAGTATTATCAAGTGTGTACTGGCTTTCACTGTGCCTGAGACATTACTTTTCCTCCTTGTTTCATCAGCAGAGAAAGTCATCACCATCAAAAACTGACTGAGAAATACAGTAGCTCAAAAAGTATAAGACAAAACTAGAAGTAAAAACCATTGCTATGTTGTGGTCATCAGAATTATTGAAAATGCCTTGGGGTTTTGCCATAAATATTCAAATAGCATAGGAAATGAAACTCTCAAAAATTTGGGTGTACATACAAATCAGTAGCTCCTGAGTTATACTGTACAAGCATTTTGGATAATCAGTTGTAATACAGATGTGTAGGAGCAAGTTTCTTGAATACTCAAGAAAAAAAGATGCTATATTACTGCACATGCTATTGTTATAACACATGCTTTATGTTGTTTTAACAGTAAATTCCACCTAAATGCAGCAAGCTCACGATGCCATTTCATGAAGCTATATTACACAAGTAATTGACACCAAGTAGCTACAAAAGTATTTCCTATTTTCAACTAAACTGTGGCAAACCCATCAGCAGAGCACAGCGCTTCATCAGAGTATCTGTCTTCACTGCTTTTTGGGGGGCATGGGAGAATATAACACAAGCATTATAGCACCACTTATGTTTGGAGGTTTTTTCCATAGAATCAATCAAAATCTTACAAAAATCTAGCCAACCAACAAACAGAAAAGTGTGCTGCATATGCAGTTCTGCCTGGAGATAGCGCTTTGCAATTACATCAATAGAGGTCAAACATTTGGAAGTTATGACTGTGCATTCCTCATGTAGCCATGTAGTCATATTGGGTATTACCATATAAACTTCTCTTTGTGAGGGGCAAAAGATGAGAAGTGCTCATTTAATAAACTGGATAATAGAACTGATTTTTTTTCAGCGTGACATCACCTCTTACATCAGCATGCACATGCTAACCTAAGAATTACATGTCTTACGGCACTCTTCCTCACAGACATTAATGTACAATCTCCAATGGGATAATTCAGTTAACTGAGCAAATGCCACAGCATCTCCTAAGTGATTTAGTATTTTGTAGTATTCTATTTCTCATAACTTTACGTAATGTTAATTTTCAATGATCTGCTTTGTGAGTTCCCAGAAGTAACAGCGTGAAAGCCACCTGGGCACAGAGACACATTAAGAACCAGTGAAAAACGGAACTAACTTTCTCAGTATGTTGTAAGGATTGTGTAAGAGGCAAATCTATTCGTCAAGGGTGGCCTCAACAGTGAAACAATTCTTTTCTTGTCCATTACACTCTTTCAAACCTCTCCAGCAAATGAAGTCAGCACCTTACAAACAATCTGTCCACAGGCAAAGGAGATTTCTTTCCCTGTTCATTTCATGTCTGAACTAGGTGGAAAGTTTTCATTCCATATATTCTACAGTTTCCACCCCTCTCTTCTTGACCCAAAGTTGTTGCTTCAAAATGGACTTAAAACAAGTTATCAGCATTTTCACAGATGAGAAACTGAGGCTCCAGTGCACAGGTTCATCGTGTTTTTTATGTACTTAACCAAAGCACTAAAGCCTCTGAAGAGTAAGGCATGCTTCTTAAAACATCAGACAAATAATCAAATAAAGACAAATAAAGAGAATTTCCACAACAGAAAGAGGCAGCAGTGCTTGCTTGAACTATACTGCTGACAGGCCACCTGTAACTCAAGTCCGCGTTAAATCTACAATCCAATTAATGCAACTGTTCACTGGTTTGTTTATCTGGGGAGGGGGTTTTGTGTGCTTATTTTTGGTAGAGGTTCTTAGATAAACAATATCTTCAATGTTCTTAAATTGAGATTGTCCTTTCTTCCACTAATCTTCCTACAAGATGGGCCAACTCCCCTCCTACAGGCAAAACTGGCTAGCAACATCCACTTCTATCTTAAAATTTAAATTTCATTTTCAATCCTACATGAATGTTTACAAGCTGTCACCCAATAACTTGTCACTTAATGTAGAGCAAACTATAATCAAACATCAAAAGAATCTGTCTGGAATTAATCTGTGACTTCTCTAAAATAATAACTTTCATGCAATGCTTGGCATGTGGAGCACAAATTATCCTGAAATAAGTAAACACATGCTAATGTGGGATTGAGGAAATTGTTTCTGAAGCAGATGTTTCACTTGTTAAGCTATACACTCATACCCACTAATGAAGAAAAAGATATTACTACATATTCATCTTAAAGATCTGCTGACGTTGGACATTAGGAAAACAAAATATATTGAAATACAGATTGATTTACATATACAAAGACCATTTTTAAATTTCTGCACAACACTGAAGTTTTTTGTAGAACAAAAAGAACAAATCAGTTGGGAGGAAAAAGTCCAAACAAGAAAGAATCTGTGCTGAAGCCAAGCATGGAACAGAGAAAGTAATTAGACTAAATCTCTTTCAGAATATTAAGAATCATTTAGCTAGAGACCAGCGTCAAACTGAATTACCCCGTATTTCCCACTTACCATCCAGTCGGGTTCAGAAGCCTGAATTTGTTCACCTTGTCCAGGTTTTAGGCCAACCTGAGTGTCAGATTTTAGTGTTCTCAAACTACAGAGAGGCGCAGGATGAAACTTGTTCAAGGCTTGATGAAATGGGACACTATATTCCCATTTTCTATCTCCTGTTAATTTTCTATAGTTTAGATCACCTTTGAAAAAAATCAAGTTTGACTTCTGTAGCTCAGCATACAAGTCAGGAGCAACTCCACCCATACTGGAAAAGTCATGTGGCAAAGTCCAAAACATGTGGTCACAGAAAACCCAAACTCCCTTTTTCAAATTGCCCTCCCAGTTTATACCACACCTAGACATCCACATATGATTAGCTGACTGCAGTTGTTTAATAGTCCAGTTAAAATCATGCTTTGTGGTATCTGACACATACCATGGAATACTTTTTCCATGGAAATAGACTTCATCAGCTAGCTTTGACGATAACAAGAAATCAGCCAACACAAGATCACTTACAAGTTCAAATCCAGCATTATCCAGGATTATGTCAACTCTAACATTACTTCCTTCTGTTCTATTTTTTTTGGCGTTTACAAGTAGTGACCAAAGTTTTTCCATATCATTCACTAAGATGTAAGGTACCATGTTTGCCAGGGATTGTAAGGGACTAGATTTCTGAGAGCTGTCTTCACCAGCTGAAAAAGAAAGGTCACACTTGTTGCCCCACAGTGACACCTAGAATGAAGAAAAAACAAAACACATTTGCTAAGTCTCACTGTAGTTACATTTTAAACCTCACATAGACTAAAGATTTTGTTTACTTCTTTTTGGTTTAGGTAATGAAGGCTCCAACTCCACACTCAACTTCTTATACAGTTATCTTAACATAGGTAAGATTAACATAGGTGGAAGAAACCAAACAATGCTCTGTATTTCTTCAGGTATGAGAAACACGCATCAGAAGTGACAAAGATGAAAGATTTAGGTCAACAAAGATACACTGATGACAAATCAATGTATTGATAAAATTTTTGCTTAAAACACAAATATTCTCCATACTGCTATTTCAAAAAAATATCTGTGGTAACATAGAAAAAGGAATATTAAAGCACGTTTATTTTTCTTATTACATACAGCTAAGTAAGTATTTTAGGCATATGTATTTTAAGTACTCACTAATGATCTCTTTATAAAGATTCATCAAATACTTGGTTTGCACTGTTGCCAGCTAATGGACTTCTTTGTAATCCTAAGATATTTTGGGTATTGTACCCAAAGGCATTATAGTCATTAAAAAGCTTTTAAACCACTTCTGGCCCAGACTGACTTCTAAATTTTTCTCCAAAGAAGTTTAGAAATGTTTAGAGTGTCAATTAAAATGTACTGTTTTACAAAACTGTAGTTAAATACCAAAAAGGTCATCTGGAACTTGACTTAAAACATTTGAGAAATACTCAATTCAAAAAGAATTGCTGTGTTTTCAAAAGCACAGTGAAGATCTTGAAGATCAGCAGTTAATGAAAATGTCATATTTAAGACAAGTAACTAAAATATAAATATTTCCACAATAGCAGCAGTACAGTATGGCTATCAATCAAGATTTCATCACATTTTTTACAAACAAAAGAGCTATATTTTAATTTCCATATGAAGTTCTAATTCTTTATAACCTCAAGTTTGTGTTTATTTCACAGGAGAGACATTTTAAATTCTTGTGTTAAGCACTAGTAGTTTACCTGCAATAGCTTAAAAAGTTCCTCCTTAAGTTGCTTTTCATCTAGATCCTTGATGTTCTTAAGAAGTTCCTGAAAGTAAGTGCATAATGCAATAACAGCCTCTTGGGATTCAAAGAAATTTTGAGCCTTTCCTTCCTTAAATACGTCGAAGTTGTCAATAGGTGGGCTAAAAAGAGGAGAACAAATATACTGACATACTTGCCATGACAGTACATGCAAATGAAACTCAAAGGTCAGCTTTTTATACTGTACTACAGACCCTACTCAGATTTTCCACTTCTCATTTGTCATACCAGACCTTCACAAATCTCTGTAACAGCCTGATGCCATATCTCACCGAAACAGACACTATGCAAAAACATTTTTATATTTCCAGCAATATACTCTGGAAGTGAACAAGTGCTCAGTCACAACACTTCTGGGAACTGCACATACAGTCACCTTTCTGAACTCCAGTCTTCAGGCACAGATAACTAAAACTGTAACATACAAGTGAACTAATGTGGAGAACTGCTGGCCCAATTTTAAGTTTGTTTTTGTGTGCTGAAGTTACTTCCCATACCAGATTCTCTTACAGTGATAGGAAGTTATTCATATGAAAGTCTTTACTAGGAGTCTGGAAAATTAACATGATAAAGATGAGAATATTTGCACATACACCTTTTGACAAATGAACTTCCATCAAAGCATACACTCAAGAGGAGATAAATAATGGAGATCAAGAAACTTAAAGCTTACTACTGAAAAGTATCCATGGACCTTTTCAAGTGCAATCAAGTAAATCCATCTCATATTTGAAGCTTTTGGTACAAGAGTTCAGATTACACAATATACCAGTAGTATATTGTCCCATTCCTGTGTTTGCATCTCTGCAATACTACGGGTAAATCCAGTATTCATGGAGCTTTCAAATTCTTTTAACACCAACAGGAACTTAAGCTGTTCACTCCCACCCCATGACATTGTACTGGCACCTCTCCATGGTGCCAGCACAAGTTTTTCCTGTGCAGTTATTTTTAACCAAGATCAGCTCCCAGAGTGTGATGCAACACATGGTCTGCATGCACTGCTGTAACTAAGAAGGTGGTGTGGACTGAACAACTGGGGCTGCTTAAGGTGGGTAAACTGCCGTAAGAAACAGTTCTCAAATGGTAACTTTACATTTCAAGCGACGAAACAAGTTAGGATTCCCAACAGATCTGTGGCTCTCGCATTCCCTGTTTTAGGCTTAAGAGAGAGTTCTAGGCTAACAAACCTTTTAAAAGTGCTACGTGATTTTCATATCGCAATTCACATTAGTCTGCAAGAAGGTCAGGCTACACAGTCAAGCTTATGAGTTTTCAAGTGGATCAACTCACCAAAACTGAAGCATAAAAAAATTATTAAGCTTCAAATTCTGCTGTATGGAAGAAGAAAAGGTATTAATTTCAATTGAAGTGCGAGACAAGGGAAATGGAATATGGTAAAAGCCTAAGATTTTCCTTTATCTTACTCCTCAGCTGTCTTTCTTCCTCCTAAAATAGAAATGGGAAAGAACAATGTTTTTCAAAATAGCATACCAAGCTAGTAAATACTTAATACTTACTTCTGTGCTAATGCTGCATGAATTCTTCGATACATATAACACTCTACAAACAACCAAGGGGACTGAAACCAACTTGGTTCTCCGTTCCCATTTGATAAATTTCGTTGGTAGTCCAGGTATTGGTTCCACAGCGCAGCATCAGGCAACTCATCTTCCAAAGGGGTCACTGGTTTGTCTGTTTGCAGTTCATTCCGCAGTTTGGAGAGGAAAGATATAGCTCTCTTTTCTGCTTCAACACCCTTCTGAAATAAGTGGAGAACAAAAGTTCCTATTTGAACATTTATTCCTGTAGAGACACAGATCAACTTTTCATTAAATATGTAAGTGGTAAGTTTTAATTGCCAAAGGTGAGTCTCTGACAAACCAGAGCTTGAATCAACAAAACGTATTTTGGTGAATAAAGCTCATTTTAGACCCAGCATCCTAAAATGAACTGCACATGGAACTTCTTTTTAGATTGGACTTTTTGCTTATTAGAGAGGAAGAAAGTATCGAAACACAGAAGGTGCTACAGTCTCTCAAACACTACATCAACACAAAAACCTGAGGAAGCAAAGCAGTTGCAGAAATGACAGACCACAAAAAGGTTAGACAGAGAAGTGAGTTACAGAACTGATAAAAATAGCTACAAGAAAGAGATGATTAAAAAAAAAAATAGACAAAAAGATTGAGACAGACAAGTAATAACAGTAGTAAGAAACCAGTAAAAGCAAGGCAGAGAAAGGGTTTCAAAGGTTAGGGAGAAAAAAAAATCAGGAAAAAAAAAGAGACCTTACTCTTACCTCACCGTGTTCTTCAAAAAATTCATTTTTATGTCGATGCAGAGTATCAATAACTCTTGTGAGGATTTGTGGCAGTCTGTCTTTAATTGTAAGATATGCAAAGGATCTAAAAGGGAGAGGAACAAATTTTTATTATTGACAGCAAATGATGAAGTAGCTTCACTTTTTAAAAACAAATGCAAGGTCTTCATGCTGGTTTAGGCTGGAGCAGGGTTAATTTTCTTCACAGTAGCTGGTATGGGGCTGTGTTTTGAGTTGTGCTGGAGACAGTGTTGATAACACGGGGATGTTTTCATTACTGCTGATTTGGGCTTACCCGAAGTCAAGGCTTTGTCTGCCTCCCCAACCAGCACAGCATCCTACCAGCGAGCAGGTTGGGGATGCACAAGGAGCTGGGAGGGGACACAGTTGAGACAGCTGACCCCAACAGACCCAAGGGATATCGCATATATATGGTGGCACATTCAGCAGTGAAAACCAGGAGGAAAAGTTGTCTGGGGGACCACTGCCTGGGTACTTGCTGGGCACCAGTCAGCTGGTGGTGAGCAATTGTTTTCACTGGCTTCATCTGTTTTTCTTAGATTCTCTTTTTCTTTGTTCCTTTCCTTTCCATTCTAATGTAATATTACTTCAATTATTAAACTGTTCTTAACCCACAATTTTTCTCACTTCTACCCTTCCCCTTCTATCCCCCCTCCACTGGGCGCTGAGTGAGCGGGCAGCTGTGCCGTGCTTGATTGCCAGTGGGGGTTAAAACGGTCTTAAAAGTAACTTTAGGTGCCTCTAAAGCAGTGGACAGGAGTAACAGTAATAAACCCTCTTCCAATGGGTCAGATTCTTAGGTCTGCGTTTAAAGAAAAACAGCAGTCTTTTCAAGGAAGAAAATGTTAAATGACTGACCCTGCCAAAACAGCGAAAGATTGCAGCTAATTCAATGCTAAACCGCGTTCTTTAATTGTTCGGTTGCCCGGATGCAGTCAGGGAAATGTAAACTTAAAAGGATAGAAACACGTTCAAAGTTTATCATGTATCTGCTACCGACACGAAAACCCACACTCATGCACTCTACACTACACACTTCATTTGCATTTCCCCGCAGCCCCGTTTATGTTCGAGGACAACGAGCAGAACGTGATCAGCCATACAGACAGCGCCAACACGGCCTGTAGACTTAATTTTAATGCACGACTTCCCCCCGGCGAGTCGGAGCCGAGCAGCGACACCCGGAGCACAGCGACGCTTCCACACCCGCCCGCGGCCCGTGCCGGGCGCTCCCTGAGGCCACAGCGCCGCCTGCCGCCACTGCAGCCCCCGCCCGCCCCGCCGGGCCAAGAGCCGGCCCCCGGCCCCGCCCGACGCCTGAAGGCCGCAGCTGCCCGGCCGCAGGGCGCCGACCCGGTCCCTCGGCCCGCCCCCGCCCCCCGCGCCGCTGCCGTGACGGACCCCTTGAACCTGCCCGACAGGGGCGCGGGCAGTGCCGGCGCCGCCATCTTGCTCCGCCCCCCCGCGCGCCGGCGCCCCGCCCCTCGCCCCGCCCCCCGGAAGCGGGATGCGAGGCCGCCGGACGTTCCTGCGCGCGGGCCGCGCCTCGCCGCGCGGCGACGGACGGGCGGGGCGTGTCGGGCGGCGCGCGCTGGCGAGGCCCGGCGGGCGGTGGGCGGGGCCGCGGCTCGCGCGGCGGAGAGCGGCGCGCCCCCTCCCCCAGGTCAGTGCTGGCGCGCGGCGGCGGCGGGAACCGCCTCGCCCCTCCCGCGGCGGCGGCGACGGGAGCGCGCGCGGGGCGGGGGAGGGGAAGGAGGGCCGGGCCGGGCCGGTGGCGCTGTGGCTGTCCTTCGCGACCCCGCGCCACAGTCGGGGCTGCGCCGGGAGCCCGAGCCGGGGCAGGAGGCGTATGCAGCCCCGCCTGGGACGCCCCCGGGACGGCGGGGCTTCTGCAGCGCCCACGGAGAGTGTGCGGGCTAGGCGGGGCGGCCTCGGCCGCCTGTTCTGCCGGCTCCCATCCTGCCGCTGGGGAAGAGCACCGCGAGACTCCCCGCGAGGAGGGGGCAGTTTTGGGCGAGCACGAGCCTTGCCTGCGGGTGCGGGGCGATTCCCTGCCCCGAACCGCCCCCCGCCCCAGGCTGCCCTCGCCGCGGCCGGAGCGGGGTGGCTGCCGGGTGGTGCCCGCGGCTCCCCCTGTGTGCGGGGGCCGCCGGTTGGTGGTGACGTAGCAGCGGCGAGGGCCGCGCGCCGCGCACCGTGAAGTACGGGGGGGGGCCTTCGCGCGGGGGCGTGCGCACTGGGGGCGATGTCTCGCGCGCCCGCCGGGGACGCCCGCGAGCTGCCGCCGCGGGGCTGGGGCCTCGCGCTGCCTGCGGGGGCGGAACGGCATCGCCTCCCGATTGGCCGCCTAGTCCCCCGCTGTGCCCGCCCCCCGTCACCCGCAGCCAATGGGAGCGGAGCGCTCGCTCCTCCCGCCGCCTTATTGCCCCCGACCTCCTCTCGTCCAGCAGGAGCGCTCCCGGGGGTGGTTCCCTTCGGGGAAAGGGACGGGAATGCGGGGGATGGGAAGGGGCGGGGTGTCCTGGCATCGGCTGCTGGCGGGCCCCGGGGGCAGGCTGAGGGCATCCAGACTGCGGGGGCCGGGCAGAGCTGGTCTGTACCGGTCTGACCCAGCCGCGGGCGGAGCGGGCCCGCCCTCCCCGTTGCAGGTCTCTGTCGCTGCCGCCGCCGCCGCAGCGGGCTGGGCCTCCGGCTGGGGAGGGCATGGCCAAACCGTGCCGTGGCTGAAGAGACGTTGGAAAATAAATTCCGCTCCTGTGCCCGCTGCTCGGGGGTGACGCCTCCTGTCCTGTACGCCCTTCATCCCGCTTTTCTTGGAGTGCTCCGTTCCGCTCGTTCTGGCTGGGTGCCTCTGCTGCCGCAGGCCTGACGTTCAGGCCCCCCGATGGAATTCAGCCCATATAATCTCTCTTTCCTTACAACCTGCTCTAAGCCTCTACACTTGAAAAATGATCCTTGGCATCACTGATTCAGGATGAGGGTTTTTTTCCTAGGAAAGTGAGGATTTAGTTGGCATTTGTTGGGTCTCTTTCTGCCAGTTACCCCACGTTGCTGGAGACTTCTCCCCTTGCCCTGGCTCTCCACTGGCTTGGGCTGCAGTTGCTGAGGTTTTTTTCAGCTCTTTTGATTATCCAGAAGTGACAAGCCTTGAAAAAGGTAAATAAATGTGCCTTGTCCTGGGCAGAGTCTTCTGGGTTGTTTTATAAATACTGAAAAAGTTTGAAATTACAATAATAATTGGTTTATTCCAATAAGTATGCAAATAACAAGCTTTAAATTGGGTGGAAATGTACCAGTGAAGAACATATAAAAATACAAAGTTGTGCCCAAGATCAGTTACTTGTTCTGTGGCAACCTAAAAGTGTTCTACATCCTTTTTATTTAGTTAGATAGTTATTTTTAATTGTATGTTTCTTTCACCAGATTTAGAGTACTCCCATTAAGTTATGTCAGAATGTGGTTTTGTGTGTGTATTGTGCTACCATCCAGGTATCCTTGACAGGATGGAGGACTTGTCCAAGGCACACACCATGATTTTTCTCACAAGAAAATGCTTATTTGAAATACTATATTAAATGTATTTATGGTATTGAAGATCCTCCTTTGTTTTTTGAAAAATATTCTGACAGGCCGTTTTTTTTGAGCTATACAACTTTTTGTTAATAATTTGCTGAAGTTGCATTTTATGTCATAAGGGGAATTAGGAAAATCAGATGTGGGAAGGGACTTGACGTGTGATTTTTGAAATAAAAATGAAGCATACTCACTGAGGTAGCCAACCTGCTGTCTGTGAATACTTTTAAAGTTTATTTGATTAGCTCACACGACATACGGTAGATAGAGTAAGCCAGCTGGTCTGAAATAACCAGAGTAAGGACACTGTTGTGTTTTCACCTCCGTAGGTGGGCCTGCAGGTGGCTGCTGTTGCAGCAGGATGTACTGGCAGGAGCAAGGCTGTAACTTGGCTCTGTTCTCACTGTAGTCAGGACACACGACTGGGGCTGGATCTCTGCTGGGCTGTTTTTGGGACAGGAGTCTGAGCTGATGCTGAGCAGTGTGTGTATTCTGTAGGTGACATTCCCATACAACCACGTAGTAATCTAAATTGTTTGTTTCAATATGTATAACACAATGATTCACAGAGTCTGATGT